TTCATTAAAGCATGCACAGCTCCTAGCATTTGCAGATGATGTTAAAGTATTCCATCGTATCGACTCTTTAAACGACCGTCTTATCCTACAAGATGATCTGAATGCAATATTGTTGCATGGGCTAACAAACTAGGATTGGACTTCAATATTGCTAAATGTCACCATATGACTTTTATTCATTAATTTTAAGCCCGTATTATATGCTAAATAAATAAATAAAACAATAACTACCTATTGATTATAAGTTATAATAAATAAATATTATTGTGTRCGTATTCTTAAGTTTTTCGWAGGAAATTCAGTTGGGCAGCACATAGAGGGTTAATAGGAATTTCTATTTCAAATGATTTTCTTTTACACGATTACCACAATGCATTTTTATTTCTTGTTTATGACAATACATACTGGTATTTTTATTTATKTATACTGTATAGATTTGTCCTAAATGCTTTCAAATTTTTGATACAAGTACATATCATGATTGCCAACGTGCCGACACTACAAAAAAGTAATATTGCTATATTATTTTAATATTACTTTTATTTTGTGCTACTGGTATAGATCTCATAAAATAGACAATATTGAAGTCGCAGGTTTACAAAGGTAATAACTAAGAATTAATATATTATTATTGAATAGTTAATTAATTGATTATAGAAATCTCTGTGTAAGTTATTTTGGATCTTTATATTTTTAAAATTGTGAAATGCTTCAATAGGTCTATGGCTCAAAACATTAAAGAAACTAGAAAGTAATAATGACTTGCTTGAAAGTAATGCATCGCTGTTAACAGGTTTTATTTTAGATTATGCATACCTATATATGTTTGACTTCTGTTACTATTCTTCAGCTGGGAAAGTGTTCTGTGTACAGAGGGAATGAACATATATTATGGGCTAAAATATTGGCTTATTTGGTCATAATGTTATGTTTTATTTAATAAATAATATAAATTTATAAATATTTAAAATATACATTATATTGTGTTTACAGAGAATATTACAACACCTGTCTTAAAAAGTGCTTGGACAAACGAAAATACAAGTTTTATGTTGGGATGTTACCATCAATATATGGAACAAATTGGTCCGATGAAAAAATTTAAAAATAAAAAGTGTATGCGGGTGAAAATTAAACATGACATTGAGGAAAAATTTAACTACTCATTCACAGATGTACAAATAGAAAATAGATACAAAACAGTTTTGAAAAGAAATAAAATATCAACYAAAAATAACAACACTACTGGATCTTCTCCTAACTTTAGTATGGTCGATGATGAGTTCGCAAAAATTGCTTCATTGGACGACTCTATTGAGCCAGCCGTCCAAGTTGGTAAGTYATTAAAAAAACTGGAACATGATAGATATTACATTCTTATGAGTGTTTAAAAAAATTAAGTTTTTAAAAGTAATTTATATTTTTTTTTTCTTTTTAAGGTTTATCGAGTTCTGGACTCAAACGAATAACGAAAGACGTTATTATTGCACCGAAAAATGTGCCAAAGGTATCGAACAAAATAGTTAAAACTTCTGTCATAGATGTTTTAATTGCTATGCAYAAAGAAAAGGAAGTCAATAAAAAACAAAAGAGAACTAAACCGTGAAAAGCGTCATAATGAAAAAATGGACTTGCTTAAAGCCCTTTTAAATAATAAGTGAAATTTTAGTATGTTACATATTTAAATTTTCTACATAARTTAACTTACTGTAGTTATATTTCTTTATTGGATAATAAAACAAGTGTCATTCCTATTAAATGTTTGAATTACAATAAGTTTGATAATATTTGGCGCTTTGCCATTCCTTTTGTACGGGCATCTAAAGATCTTGGATTTAAATCTRCTAATGTTATATTTTGAGGTTCTTCTTGTGGTAGTTCTGTAGTAATAAAATTATCTTCCTCTGAACACATATTGTGTAAAACACAACAAGCCAGTACAAAATTGGCATCTTTTTCAGTCAATGCAAAATCCAATTTTAATAATTGACGAAAACGGCCTTTTAAAAGGCCAAAAGGGTTTTCTATAACTATTCTTGTTTTAGAATGATTTTTATTAAATTGTTTTTCGGTAACAGTAAAATTAACATAATTTCTATATAGGATTATTATATTCTCTTCCAAAGGGTAAGTTGAATCAGCTAATATATGATACTTGGATCCACACACTTGATACAAATATTGGTCTTTATAAATAAATTACATTTGTAGTAGAATCCGTGCATCATRCATTTTACCAGGTGTCCCAATGAAAACATCAAGACATTTTTTCTTAGCATYACAAATAGCTTGAAGTGTTATAGAACAATCATGGTGCCTATTGACATATGTAGATCGAATTTTATGTTTGGGTTTCCTTATGCTAATATATGAACCATCTATAGCTCCAAGAATGTTTG